CTGCTAATAGATACTTACTGTTCAGAATTACTTACTGGTCATAGATACTTACTGATCATAGCTACTTACTATTCATAGTAACTGGAAAAGTAATAATTTTTCTTCTTAAAATTTTCCGATCGTTCCTATGGCAGCTATATATATATATATATATATAGTCCATCGATTCATCATGCTCCGACATATATACTAGTAAAATTATATAGGAGATAACTCAATAGTTTCATTTAAATAGCTTGCTCTTCGTTCTAAAACAAATCTCGCACATCTGTGCATATAATTCCCAACTTGTTCTAACCTCCCCGGAACGAAGTGACTGCTGCCGGCCACGTATCAGATATGTGTTGTGTTTCAAAAGTTGCAAGTCATTGTTTATTAGTGTTCAAAGTTAGTAACTGATCATAGATACTTACTGATCATAGACACTTACTGTTCAGAGTTACTTACTGGTCATAGATACTTACTGTTCAGAGTTACTTACTGCTCATAGATACTTACTGTTCAGAGTTACTTTCTGCTAATAGATACTTACTGTTCAGAATTACTTACTGTTCAGAATTACTTACTGGTCATAGATACTTACTGATCATAGCTACTTACTATTCATAGTAACTGGAAAAGTAATAATTTTTCTTCTTAAAATTTTCCGATCGTTCCTATGGCAGCTATATATATATATATATATATAGTCCATCGATTCATCATGCTCCGACATATATATGAGTAAAATTATATAGGAGAATAACTCAATAGTTTCATTCAAATAGCTTGCTCAACAAATCTCACACATCTGTGCATATAATTCCCAACTTGTTCTAACATCCCCGGAACGAAGTGACTGCTGCCGGCCACGTATCAGATATGTGTTGTGTTTCAAAAGTTGCAAGTCATTGTTTATTAGTGTTCAAAGTTAGTAACTGATCATAGATACTTACTGGTCATAGACACTTACTGTTCAGAGTTACTTACTGGTCATAGATACTTACTGTTCAGAGTTACTTACTGATCATAGATACTTACTGTTCAGAGTTACTTTCTGCTAATAGATACTTACTGTTCAGAATTACTTACTGGTCATAGATACTTACTGATCATAGCTACTTACTATTCATAGTAACTGGAAAAGTAATAATTTTTCTTCTTAAAATTTTCCGATCGTTCCTATGGCAGCTATATATATATATATATATATAGTCCATCGATTCATCATGCTCCGACATATATACTAGTAAAATTATATAGGAGATAACTCAATAGTTTCATTTAAATAGCTTGCTCTTCGTTCTAAAACAAATCTCGCACATCTGTGCATATAATTCCCAACTTGTTCTAACCTCCCCGGAACGAAGTGACTGCTGCCGGCCACGTATCAGATATGTGTTGTGTTTCAAAAGTTGCAAGTCATTGTTTATTAGTGTTCAAAGTTAGTAACTGATCATAGATACTTACTGGTCATAGACACTTACTGTTCAGAGTTACTTACTGGTCATAGATACTTACTGTTCAGAGTTACTTACTGCTCATAGATACTTACTGTTCAGAGTTACTTTCTGCTAATAGATACTTACTGTTCAGAATTACTTACTGGTCATAGATACTTACTGATCATAGCTACTTACTATTCATAGTAACTGGAAAAGTAATAATTTTTCTTCTTAAAATTTTCCGATCGTTCCTATGGCAGCTATATATATATATATATATATAGTCCATCGATTCATCATGCTCCGACATATATATGAGTAAAATTATATAGGAGAATAACTCAATAGTTTCATTCAAATAGCTTGCTCAACAAATCTCACACATCTGTGCATATAATTCCCAACTTGTTCTAACATCCCCGGAACGAAGTGACTGCTGCCGGCCACGTATCAGATATGTGTTGTGTTTCAAAAGTTGCAAGTCATTGTTTATTAGTGTTCAAAGTTAGTAACTGATCATAGATACTTACTGGTTATAGACACTTACTGTTCAGAGTTACTTACTGGTCATAGATACTTACTATTCAGAGTTACTTTCTGCTAATAGATACTTACTGTTCAGAGTTACTTACTGGTTATAGATACTTACTATTCAGAGTTACTTTCTGCTAATAGATACTTACTGTTCAGAGTTACTTTCTGCTAATAGATACTTACTATTCAGAGTTACTTTCTGCTAATAGATACTTACTGATCAGAGTTACTTACTGGTCATAGATACTTACTGTTCAGAATTACTTTCTGCTCATAGATACTTACTGTTCAGAATTACTTAATGGTTATAGATACTTACTATTCAGAGTTAATTTCTGCTAATAGATACTTACTGTTCAGAGTTACTTACTGCTCATAGATACTTGCTGATCATAGTTACTTACTGGCCATAGATACTTACTGTTTAGAGTTACTTTCTGCTCATAAATACTTGCTCATATTAGTTAGTTACTGGTCATAGATACTAACTGTTCATAGATACTTACTGTTCAGAGTTACTTACTGGTCATAGATACTTACTGTTCAGAATTACTTTCTGCTCATAGATACTTACTGTTCAGAATTACTTACTGGTCATAGATACTTACTATTCAGAGTTACTTTCTGCTAATAGATACTTACTGTTCAGAATTACTTACTGGTCATAGATACTTACTGATCATAGCTACTTACTATTCATAGTAACTGGAAAAGTAATAATTTTTCTTCTTAAAATTTTCCGATCGTTCCTATGGCAGCTATATATATATATATATATATATATAGTCCACCGATTCATCATGCTCCGACATATATATTAGTAAATTTATATAGGAGAATAACTCAATAGTTTCATTCAAATAGCTTGCTCTTCGTTCCAAAACAAATCTCGCACATCTGTGCATATAATTCCCAACTTGTTCTAACATCCCCGGAACGAAGTGACTGCTGCCGGCCACGTATCAGATATGTGTTGTGTTTCAAAAGTTGCAAGTCATTGTTTATTAGTGTTCAAAGTTAGTAAATGATCATAGATACTTACTGGTCATAGACACTTACTGCTCATAGTTACTTTCTACTCATAGATACTTACTGTTTAGAGTTACTTTCTGCTAATATATACTTACTGTTCAGAGTTACTTACTGCTCATAGATACTTACTGATCATAGCTACTTACTGTTCATAGTAACTGGAAAAGTAATAATTTTTCTTCTTGAAATTTTCCGATCGTTCCTATGGCAGCTATATATATGTATATATATAGTCCACCGATTCGTCATGCTCCGACATATATACTAGTAAAATTATGTAGGAGAATAACTCAATAGTTTCATTCAAATAGCTTGCTCTTCGTTCCAAAACAAATCTCGCACATCTGTGCATATAATTCCCAACTTGTTCTAACATCCCCGGAACGAAGTGACTGCTGCCGGCCACGTATCAGATATGTGTTGTGTTTCAAAAGTTGCAAGTCATTGTTTATTAGTGTTCAAAGTTAGTAACTGATCATAGATACTTGCAGGTCATAGATACTTACTGTTCAGAGTTACTTTTTGCACATAGATACTTGCTGATCATAGTTACTTACTGGCCATAGATACTTACTGTTTAGAGTTACTTTCTGCTCATAAATACTTTCTCATATTAGTTAGTTACTGGTCATAGATACTAACTGTTCATAGTTACTTACTGTTTAAAGGTGCTTACTGATCCTCTACAACCGTTTCTCTGGAAGTTTGATTATATAGTATTCCGATTTTCATATATATATAATAATATCTTGACGGATCTTTATTGATCGTAAACAAAAGCTGAAACCCATAAAGACCATAGCTTTTGTCTAAATGTGACCTAATTTCAAGGGAAGAGTTCGAGTTTGAGTTTGAGTTCTTAGCAAGCATTTATCATTCATCTTGGCCTAGTGCTGCTGATCGATCGATGTCGTGTAATTAAGCGAATTTCTCGTATCTCGTGTTTGGCATCTTGGCTCATTCGCTTTTGGCCAAATCTTCGACTTCTTTTGCCTGCCCTAACCAGTTTTATGTGCCTTTTAAGCTTGTCTCTAGCTCCGTGGGGAAGTAAATGCAAATTCGTTGGCTATTTGTTTATATTCCATCAGCGCAAATCGATGCAAAAACAAAGTCCAGTTCAGTCCAATAATAAAAATAAAAAACAATAGAAACTTCCGCAACAAATTTATGTTAACTTATGTATAAACACCTATCTACTATCTGCATCTGCGATTCATAGGCTAAGAATTTCTCAGGCCGAAGAAGTTCACCAGGTGTTAAATTTCATTATCCATCCATTTCATTATATATCCATCCATTGTTTAATTTACCTTATCTTATAAGTAAATTAAAGAGATAAAAATATAGTTTTTATATATATTTTATTTATTTAAACATAATGTAGGTTTATAAAATTAGAAATATCTCAAAATTGCCTTAATAATATTTAACAACTAATTATATAACATATAGATACCAGAATTTTCTAGACTTTCTTATAAAAAAATGTATAAAGGAGTTATGACACTGATTTGCATACAGAAATTGTTTAAATTAAAAATCTATATAGAGATCTGTTGATTATTTCTATATGGATATTATCTTTTTGATTATTTTGGATCAGATCCTGTCTAGGATAACTATATCTCTCTCATGATCTTGCTATTGCTTCAAGCAAAATGTATGACACTGAGTTTATTTAATTCATTTAATGAATTTCATTTATACTAAGATATTTATTGAGTATATCTATATTGATATAACCCTTTTGGAGGACTTTTCCGATCCTAATCCTGATCCAGGATAACTAAACGCAACTTAAATCTCTTGCTTTTGCTTTAAGCAAAAGTTCTGACACTGACTTTTTATTATTTATGTTTATTTATATTCAATATATATATATACATATATTAAACGATCTATTTCAATTATTTAGCGGTGAAAAATTTCTATATCCTGATCCTTTCCATAATAACTAACCCCAATTTTTGTTTTCTCTTGCTCTCTCATTACCATTTATTATCCATTTAGGAATTATGACACTGAGCCGTGGCCCGTACAGCGAGCTCGATAAAATGAGCCTTTTTCAAGACCTCAAACTCAAACGGCGGAAAATCGATTCGCGATGCAGCAGTGACGGCGAGTCCATTGCGGACACGTCCACCTCGTCGCCGGATCTGCTGGCTCCCATGTCGCCCAAGCTGTGCGACAGCGGCAGCTCCACGGGAGGAGGTGGTCCTGGTGGAGCCGGAGGTGGTGGCGGCGCCGGTGGCGGTATCGGTGTGATGGCAACATCTGGATCTGGTGTGGGATCCGGACTAGGCTCCCTGCCCCTGCCCATGGCGCTGCCCTTGCCCCTGCCACTGCCACTGCCACTGCCACTCAGTGCATCCTCGCCGGCGGTAACCGTATCCTTGGCGGCAGTGGTGGCAGCCGTGGCGGAAACGGCGGGAGGCGGCGGTGGAGGTGGAGGAGGAGGAGGAGGAGCAAGCACAGCGGTCTCCACATCGTCGACAACAGCGGCGGTGGCCACCTCCTCGACATCCTCCACAACGCTCTCCTCCGCCTCATCATCATCATCCTCCGCCTCATCATCAGCATCATCCTCATCATCATCCAGCACATCGCCCAACGCTGGAGCGGGGGCTGGAAGTGCAACAGCTGGTGCTGGAACTGGAATTGGAGCCTCCTCCACATGTCCCGCCAGCAGCAGCAGCAGCAGCAGCAGCAACAGCACTGTCAAGAATCACATCAAGCAGGAGCCGCACCAAGCGGAGATCCATTCCTCCAGCAGTGCGATCTCAGCGGCAGCTGCCTCCACGGTAATGTCACCGCCACCGTCACAGCAGCAGGCAGAGCCAACGATTGGAGCTGGTACCGGTGGCATTGCATCTGCTGTTGCCAGCAACCAGGAACACCAAAACAATAATGGCAGCAACGGCAGCAATGGTGGCAGCAGTCGAGCCTCACCCGATTCCCTCGAGGAGAAGCCATCGACCACAACGACGACGGCGGCGGCGGCGGCGGCTTCAACGGTGGTGCCCACCAATGGTGTTGTATCCTCCGTTTCCAGTGTGGCCGGTAGCACGAGCGCCAAGCTAACCGAAGCGGGCATGAGTGTGATACGATCTGTGAAGGAGGAGCGTCTACTCAGTGTGTCCACCAAAATGCTGGCCTTTCAGCGGGAACAGGAATCCAAAGCGGCGCAAGCAGCAGCGGCAGCAGCAGCAGCAGCAGGACATGTGACAGTGCTAGTGACACCCTCGCGTATCAAGTCAGAGCCACCGCCACCCATAGCCTCGCCCTCCTCCACATCCAGCACGCAAAGGGAACGTGAACGTGAACGAGAGCGGGAACGAGAGCGGGAACGGGAGCGGGACCGCGACCGCGAGCGCGACCGGGACCGGGAGCGAGAGCAATCGATTAGCTCATCGCAGCAGCATTTGAGTCGCGTATCCGCCAGTCCGCCATCGCATGGCTCCCTGGGACAATCGGCCATTGTCCAGACACACCATCTCCATCAGCAGCTCACCCAGCCGCTGACGCTGCGCAAAAGCAGCCCGCCCACAGAGCATCTGCTTAGCCAGTCCATGCAGCATCTAACCCAGCAGCAGCAGCTACATCTGCATCATTTGCTGGGGCAACAGCAGCAGCAGCATCAACAGGCGCAGCAGCAGCAGCAGCAGCAGCAGCAGCAGCAGCATTCACCGCATTCTTTGGTGCGTGTCAAGAAGGAGCCCAATCAGGTGAGCCAACGCCACCTGTCGCCGCATCACCACCAGCAGCAACAGCAGCAGCAGCATCTCCACCAGCAACAGCAGCAGCACAATCTCCATCAGCAGCAACACAATCTTCACCAGCAACAGCAGCAGCAGCAGCAGCATCAACAGCAGCAGCAGCCCCAGGCTTTGGCCCTAATGCATCCCGCCTCGCTGGCTCTGAGGAACAGCAACCGGGATGCGGCCATACTGTTTCGGGTGAAGAGCGAGGTGCACCAGCAGGTGGCCGCCGGATTGCCGCATTTAATGCAATCCGCTGGTGGAGCAGCGGCGGCAGCAGCTGCTGCTGTGGCAGCCCAGCGGATGGTATGCTTCAGCAACGCCCGGATCAATGGAGTCAAACCGGAGGTGATTGGTGGACCGCTGGGCAACCTGAGGCCCGTCTCCGTCTCCGGCGGTGGCAATGGCAGCGGCGGTAATGGAGGTAATGGTGGCAATGGCGGCATACCAGGTGGTGGCTCCGTTCAATGCCCCTCACCGCATCCCTCCAGCAGCTCGTCCTCGTCGCAGCTATCACCGCAAACCCCATCGCAGACGCCGCCAAGGGGTACACCCACGGTGATAATGGGCGAAAGCTGTGGCGTTCGTACCATGGTCTGGGGCTATGAGCCGCCACCGCCATCGGTGGCCCAGCAGCAGCAGCAGCAGCAGTCGCAGCAGCATCCAGGACAGCATACGCAACAGCAGTCACCGCATCACCAGCATACACAGCAGCAACAATCCCAGCAGCAGCAGCAGCAGCAGCAGCAACAGCAGCAGCAGCAGCAGCATTGCCTGTCCTCGCCATCGGCGGGTTCATTAACGCCCAGCTCCTCCGGCGGCGGTTCGGTATCCGGCGCGGGCACGCCCTCATCCGTAACGCCGCAGAATAACGAGGAAGCCGCCCAGCTGCTGCTCTCCCTGGGCCAGACCCGCATCCAGGATATGCGAGCAAGGCCGCATCCCTTTCGCACCCCGCACGCACTCAATATGGAGCGCCTGTGGGCGGGTGACTACTCCCAGCTGCCGCCTGGTCAACTGCAGGCGCTGAATCTCAGCGCCCAGCAGCAGCAATGGGGCAGCTCGAATTCGACGGGCCTGGGCGGTGGCTCCCTAGCTGGAGCACTGGGTGGACGCGGCGGTGGCGTAGGCAGTGGCCTAGAAGCGCCGCATGAACCCACCGACGAGGATGAGCAGCCGCTGGTGTGCATGATCTGTGAGGACAAGGCCACTGGCCTGCACTATGGCATTATTACATGCGAAGGGTGAGTAATTTGTTATTACTCCCATGATCTGTACTATATTCTATATTCTGTCTCATTGCAGGTGCAAGGGCTTCTTCAAGCGAACGGTGCAGAATAGACGCGTCTACACCTGCGTGGCGGATGGAACCTGCGAGATAACCAAAGCACAGCGCAACCGTTGTCAGTATTGTCGATTTAAGAAGTGCATCGAGCAGGGCATGGTGCTGCAAGGTGAGTGGACACGATTCTAGGAACCCTCTAGTTCCAAGCAGAGACGAAATATCACTAATCCTTGATCTCACTCTCTTCCCTAGCCGTTCGCGAGGATCGCATGCCTGGCGGTCGCAATAGCGGCGCCGTCTACAATCTATACAAGGTCAAGTACAAGAAGCACAAGAAGACCAACCAGAAGCAGCAGCAACAGGCCCAGCAGCAGCATCAGCAGCAGCAGCAACAGCAGCAGGCGCAGCAGCAGCATCAGCAGCAGCAGCAGCACCAGCAGCTTCACTCGCCGCTGCATCATTTGCACCATCAGGGCCACCAGGTTGTGGGCCACCAGGTGGGACATCATCCACAGCAGCAGCATCATCCCCAGCTATCGCCGCATCACCTGCTCTCGCCGCAGCAGCAGCAATTGGCCGCTGCCGTTGCAGCAGCAGCACAGCAGCAGCAGCAGCAACAGCAGCAGCAACAACAGCAGCAGCAGCAGCAACAGCAGGCCAAGCTGATGGATATGAAGCCCATGTTTCTGGGTCCCGTGCTCAAACCAGAGCTCCTGCAGGCCCCACCCATGCACAGTCCAGCGCAACAGCAACAGCAGCAGCAGCAGTCGTCACCGCATCTGCAGCTGAGCTCCCCGCACCAGCAGCAGCAGCAGCAACACCATTCAAATCATCACCAGCAATCGAGTGGAGGTGGTGGTAATGGTGGAGCTGGCTCTGGTGGTGGAGTGGCCGGTGGTGGCGCCCAGTTGCCGCCGCATCTGGTTAATGGAACGATACTGAAAACGGCACTGACCAATCCCAGCGAGATTGTACATCTGCGTCATCGTTTGGACTCGGCAGTTAGCTCGTCCAAGGATCGACAGATCTCGTATGAGCATGCCCTGGCCATGATCCAGACCCTAATCGATTGCGATGCCATGGAGGATATTGCCACGCTGCCGCATTTCAGTGAGTTCTTGGAGGACAAGTCCGAGATCAGTGAGAAGCTGTGCAACATCGGCGACTCCATTGTGCACAAGCTGGTCTCGTGGACAAAGAAGCTGCCCTTCTATCTGGAGATACCCGTGGAGATTCACACCAAATTGCTGACGGACAAGTGGCATGAGATCCTAATCCTGACCACCGCTGCCTATCAGGCGCTGCATGGCAAGCGACGCAGCGATCCAGGATCGGGTGGCCAGGGCCAGGGACAGGGTGCGATAACTGGTGCTGGCACCGGAGTGGGTGTGGGCAGCAGCAGGCACGGTTCACCGGCATCAACGCCGCTGGCAACGACACCGACAACAACGCCACTGCCATCGCCCGCCCAGCCCCTTCACAAGGACGATCCAGAGTTCGTCAGCGAGGTGAACTCGCATCTGAGTACGCTGCAGACCTGCCTCACCACGCTAATGGGCCAGCCCATTGCCATGGAGCAGCTGAAGCTGGATGTGGGTCACATGGTGGACAAGATGACCCAAATTACCATCATGTTCCGTCGCATCAAGCTCAAAATGGAGGAATATGTCTGCCTCAAGGTCTACATACTGCTGAATAAAGGTACGTGCTCCGATTTCACCCCATTCTTCGCCTATCCACACCTCAGTGCTCATGTTATACCCACTTTTCGTTCCGTTTCTAAATCCAGCAGAAGTGGAACTGGAGAGTATCCAGGAGCGGTACGTTCAGGTTTTACGCTCCTACCTGCAGAACTCATCGCCACAGAATCCGCAGGCGCGGCTCAGTGAGCTTCTATCCCACATACCAGAGGTACGTAAAAGGATTTCCCAAAACTTTCTATATATATAGATCCTAGTACAGGGCTAAATCTAAGAAAATCTGTCACGATTTATGAGAAAACTTTCTCGATAAATTCGAAATTGAGACTAATACTTGTACTCCGATTACAACCCCTTTGGCTTTTCGCTTCCTTTCACTTGCAGATCCAGGCCGCAGCCAGTTTGCTGCTCGAGAGCAAGATGTTCTATGTGCCCTTCGTGCTGAATTCGGCGAGCATAAGGTAGCAGATGCTTGAGCATGGCCTGCTGCCCACCGCCCACCACCATCAGCCAGGAGGAGTACCGCCAGGACCTGATCCCATACCTGAGCGGCACCAGCACCAGCACCAGCAGCAGCAGCAGCAGCAGCAGCAGCAGCAAGAGCGGCAGCTGGAGCGGCGCAGGAGCAGGCAGCAGCAGCATCAACTGCTGCGTGATCTGCCCAAAATCAAGATCGAGATTGGGGCCCAGGAACAGGAGCAGGACCCAGAGCAACACCAGCAGCAGCAGCAGCAGCAGCAGCAGGAGGAGGAGGAGGAGGAGGAACAGCAGCAGCAGCAGCAGCAGCAGCAGCAGCAGCAGCAGCAGCAGCAGCAGCAGCAGCAGCTGCAGCAGCCACGATCCACGTCCATTTTAAAGACCTCGCTGCTGAGCGGAGCGGCAGCCACTTTGGCCACCTTGACGGCTGCAGCCGAACAGATAGCCCGCTCCTCCTCCTCATCCTCCACCTCTGCTGACACTGCCAGGGATTACTCCAGCAGGCAAGGCAGCCCAGCGGGCAAGGCAACCAATCATCACGGCAGCAGCAGCAACAGTTTAGAAGAGAGCAAAAGACTTGAGCATCAACAGCAGCAACCACAACAGCAACAACAGCAACAATATACATCAATTCTACACACGGCCTTAATGTCACAGCGCTCCGTGTCTGCGGCAGCAGGAGGAGCAACTGCAGCAACAGCAGCTGCAACAACAACGACAGCAACGACAACGGCAGCCATCACCACATCGCCGACGCCGGCGCATGTGCTAAAGACGGCGGTGACTCTGGCCAGTCTCAGTGAGATAGCCACGGCGCGTCAGCAGCAGCAGCAGCAGCAATTGCTGGCAATGCAACAGCAGCAGCAGCAGCAACAGAAACTGCCCCGAAGGATAATCAATTTTGGCAGCAACTCGGCTACAAAAGGTATGGGAGTGGGAGCAGCAATAGGAGCAACAGCAGCAGCAGCAGCAGGAGCAGCAGCAGCAGGAGCTGGAGCTGGAGCAGGACTCGGAGCCGGATTGAGCTTGGTGGCAGCCAGCAAGCAAATGCCAGCAGCAACTGCTGCACAAAGCCGGCATAATCGCCAAATGAGTGTGGGCCAGAATCATGGTCAAAATCTGGTGGCGAATGGTAAGCAGAAAGAATTGTGAGCCCTGTTGTTAGCGATAACCACTGTCCCTGTCCCTTTGCCATGTCAGCAACAAGGACAACCGGCAACAGTAGCAACAACAGCAGCAGCAACAGCAGCAGCAACAGCAGCAGTAGCAGCAGCAGCAGCAGCAGTAGCGGGAGCAAGCAACGCCTGCTCAATGGCAACTGCTGCAGAAGCAACAACAAGATCAGCAACAGCACCAGCAACATGAGCAACCTATGCAACCTAAGCAACCTAAGCGACCTAAGCAACCTAAGCAACATGAGCAACATGGTCAATATACAGACTCAAACCGATGAGCTAGAGTTGCCACTGGCCTTAGCTTCACACACTGCCACATCATCAACATCTTCATCATCAACAACATCGCTAAGAACATTAAGCACATGCAACATTTCATTCGAAACACATGCAACACAACAGCAACAACAACAACAACAAGAACAATGGACTGCCGTGTCGCCAAAGGAGCCAGCTGGAGCTGGAATGACACAAACACCAGCAACATTAGCACCACAACAACAAGAACAACCAGAACAACAATCACTGCCACAGTCACAGTCACTGCCACAGCCACAGCCAGCAATGCAACAAGCAACAACCAATATCAATATGAGAATCAAGAGAACTACAACAACAGCACCACAACAACAACAACAACAACAACATACCAGCAACAATAATAATTATAATAATCTTAGTGCCGCCACTGCCAGGTCCAACTCGAACTCCTCAAACTCCTCCTCCCCCGCATTCAATCCAAATCCAAATCCAAATCCAAATCCTAATCCAAATCCAAATCAAAATCCTTCACCCTCAGCCACCACCTCAGCTTCTGTTACTGTAGTTGTGTTCAAAACAATGTTACCTGATGACTGAATTAATTTAGAATCGTACACCTAGAGAGCATGTTTTATGATTATGATTACCATTTACGATTTACGGATTACGATTTACAATTTACGATTTATGATTACGATTAACGATAAACTACACACAAACACACACACACATATATATATATATACATGCGATACAATACGATGCGATTTGTACATGTATAATGTATAATTATGGATATCATTACCTATTAACTATTCATTAGTTATGTCTTATCGATTATTACTATTATTACTATTACAATACTATTATTACTATTATTACTATTGCTACATGCATAATGTAGAGCCTAATTGATCTATCGTGTATTTTAGTTTGTCTAATTGTTGGAAACACACCCTGTACCATATCCCATATATAACAAACACACTTTCACACACACATACGCACCCCTCACAATAACTAGAAAGCTAGGAAAACTATGAGCGAAGTTAAACAATTTCAAAACAAAAAAGAAAATATATGTAATCATGTCATTTTTTTGTAACCGTCATTGAGCAGTTGAAGTGTTAACATGAGCAAGGCGTACGATTAAAGGAGTATGAGTATGAGTAGCGAGTAATGAGTAGGGAGTAACGAGAAAGGAGTAAAGTGTAACGAGTAGCGAGTATATGTAATGTAGCCACAATGCCACACACAGCTAATTAGCAAGCATTTAGGATGCATGCATATTGTCAGTTATCTATTCTATTCTATTCTTTTTTTTTTTTTTTTTTTTTGTATTAACTTTAAATGTATGTAAACTATAGGCCTATATATATATAGTATATATATTATGTGTAACGGAGGAGAGAGAGACGACGACGATGAGGAGGAGAGGAGAGAAAGAAAGAAGATGGAGCTGGAAATGCGACCACACCAAGTATATATTAGGAACCGTTTTCTGGAGGCAGTAAGATCAAGTAAGAGAGAGAGATTTAAGAGAGAAAGGGAGGGAAGAAAGAGTGGTAGAGCAATTTGTGGAAAACGGAAACGGAAGTAGCGCTGTACTGTCAGAGATCATCATCAAGCCTTCATTGGTTCGAACTTCGCTCGCAACTCTTGCAGATTTATACTGTTTAGATACTGTTAGTTAATAAAATCCCCCTCACACACACACATGTTAAATACATAAATACACTCACACACACTAGCTATATATATATATATATATATATATATATACACATATATAACACATATTTGTGTAAGAGACATGGGGAGCATGAGGAGAACTCGATAAACATCAACTGCATCTTAGAAACACACGCATTTTCCCCTCCCCAAATTATATATGTAATGCGAGGAAGGATCTGAAGGGATCTGCAAGGATCTGTGAGGAGGGACGAGGCGGGGTAGCGTTCACACACACAACACACAGCACGCTCACACTCACACACACTGTTTACACACTATATACCTAAGTTAAGGACGCATAATCACATACTACACATTAATTACGCATAGTACATACAACAAAAACAGAAAAAACAAAACAAAAACAAGCAAACTTTCTTAAGAAATGAAAATGAAAAACAAAAACGAAACAAAAATGGAAACAAAAACAAAGCTAAGAAGAAAGGAGAGAAGCGCAAGAGAAAGGATTCAATATATATATATATATATATATATTATATTATTTTTTTTAAATCTAAAAACCGATTGCGCAATTGTATATCGTAATCGTATAATCGTCGCAACCCCTCCCTCCCCCCAAAAACAAAAAAAAATCGCCCATCGCCCCCCCAAATTGGCGGTATCGATGCCCGGATTGTTATCGATAATATATGGTCGTAAAAACACTACGTTTTAATTTGTAAATGTATTAATTTTGTTGATTTTTTTGCTGTCTGTATACATTTTTTTTAACAACATTTTTGAATAAATGTAATTCTTGAATATTTCTTTTCTTTCTTTGTTTACTTTCTTTTAATTTAATTTTATATACCCGAAAATCCTAGAGTCCTTGGTTTGTATGATAAATACATATATATAAATATATATATATATATATATATTTGTTTCTGATTTTTAAGGAATTTATTTTTAATTTTGCTTTTTTTAATGCGAAAAATGCTTCATCCCTTGATTTTTACATGCATTTTACATGGCTCGGGGCTGGCGCCACCTAGCGACTGCCCCGGAAAATATGCCCTGTAAAGTATGCAACGGAAATTGTCCACACAAAGGCAGGAAATGCATTTTATAATTAATTACGTTCTCCCCTTCCTTTGGTTAGTGATAAACGAAAAACAAACTAATGAAACTGAAGGAATCTCTCAATGGCAACAGTCGTGTAGATAGCGGATCCTTGATCCTTAATAGACACTCCCTCTCCCGCAACCGCAACCGTAACCGAAACCGCCACCGGAACCGGAAGTAGCAAAACGTATGCTAAAAACCAAAAACGTTTGCGCACGAAGAAGAAAAAGAAGAAGAAGAAGACGAACGAGATCGAGAAGAGACGAGAAAAATAAAAGCAAGAGTCTGACATCAAATTGCCTTCAAAAAATGTTATTTTCGAGTTCTTTTCTTTTTTGTCTGTAGTTTTTTTAACAAACAAAAAAAAAGAAATAAAACTGCAAAAAAAAAAGGGATAAATAAGCAAGAAAATACATACAGTACATATATATATGTATGTTTATATAAACGAAAAGACATAATAATCAATTAACGATATGAAATTAAAGCAAATTAAGGACGAGAGCTAGCAGAAGGATTAACATTTTTTGTAGAGTAAATATATGGCAGTAAAAAAAAGTGAGAAGAAATTTAAAACAAAAAATAAATAAAAAGTAAATCTGGAGAGGGGAGTAATTACAGAAAAACAAAATCAACAAATATTTTTGCACAGCGTGTTATCGAATAAGTGTTAGGACCTTAGACTTTAACTGTAATCGAGATTCAAATCAATCAAAGACCCATCATCCCTAATCCGAATCCCATTTCCAGACGCCCCCTCCCCCTCCTAGCCACCCATGATTATTAATCTGATTTGATCAGATGGCGAATCTTTGTCTTTGTACATATATATACATCAGAGAGAGAGAGAGAGTGGAGATCGCAAGATATAGACATTAGTTAGCTAATTTTAACGACAGAAAATTAACACTCTCCCAGACCTTGTCCCAGGAACGAAAACTCACTACAATGCGAATGCTCAACTCGAATGCCCGCTTATGAGACCCAGACCCAGACCCAGCTCCGCTCTTGGTTAGATCCGACTTGCATCCCCGCAACGAATCCACCCACACCACTCCCCCTCCCCCACCCCCTATAGTGTATAGCGTGGATGCAATATGAACTTCATATGGTGCTTAATCTGGATCTTGATCTTGAGGACAACAACCCAAGCCTACAACTCAAATTATGGGACTGATGCAAAAAAAAAAAAGAAAACAAGAAAAGAAAAACGAAAATAAGAAGTATAAAATATAAAAAGAAAACACAGAAGAATTAAGCAAAGAAATTAAGTAAGCAACAAATAAACAATGGAAGCAAAAATGGATATTAAAAACCCAATTAAATGTATGTATACTAAGTGTATATGTATTAAATGATTCAACAATGAATTCAACAATGATTCAACAATGAATTCAATAATTCAAAACGAAGTAGATCCTTCCATATGCTAAAAACAAAATAAAAACAAGAACAAAAAAAAAGGAGAAAAGAAAACTAAGAGTAAACATAAGCAAAGATCTCGCTTCGGAGGCCATTTGTTATTACTCTTTGAATTTGTTTACAACCCAAATTAGAAAATTGTGAAGCCCCCAAAAACCCAAAACAAATTTGAAAAAAAAATTTAAAAACACAAAAAAAAAACATACATATATAAATAAGAAATATAAGAAAGAAGGGAAGCAAGAGAAAAGAAAAAAAGAAACATTAAACAGAAATTCTAGATATACTGTGGAGGTTTTTTTTTTGTCATTTCAAATTCTATATAGCGACTTTTATAAGTATTTGTTTATCTTTTTTATTGGATTTGATATGAATGTTAGACGATGGATTGATTGATTGATTGATTAGTGAACGTTTAAAGTAGTGTTTAATTTAAAGAAAACAAGAGATGATAAAATGATGAAATGAAATGTTAGCAAATATATATATATATATATAAAAGAACAAGAACGGATAAACTACGACGAGAACTAAGCCCCATAATTGACAATTTTTAAAGCACGATTCGAGATCACGCATATAAATTTAATAAATTACACATGTATTAATATAATGAAATGATGTATTTACGAATAAAATCTAATATTATCACATGAATGCTAGTGTCGTCGTGGGCTTGAATTTATTTCTGTTTCTCTTTTTATTCAAAGAGGGTTTGTTTTTTTCTTCTGTTTCTCTTTTTATTTAAAGAACTCTGAAGGGAACTGGGGTTCAATGACGATCTTGAAGGTCTTACTCACCACCTTCTCCTCCGTCTCCGGCGGGATACCAATAAAGTCGCTGTAAATTTAATAATAATATTAAATATAGCAGTAACTAAACCTTTCTTTTCGGTAGATATACTTACTCCTCGTTGGCTAGAGTCACGTTGATGCGATCGGTGGAGACGCGTGTGGGTCGAATAGCGCCGAAGAAGTCTGTTATCGGCACTTTGTGCGGATCGCGGCGATACAGATCCTTGCGCACGCCCACCGTCGAGATGCAGACCCGCTTGGGGCACACTTGCAACTGCAAAAGAAAGGAAAGCCGAAAAAACCTTAGAAAAATTCAAATATTCTAATAAAACCACTTACAAACTCGCCAATTGTGCGCTTGCTGAAGGGCTGCACCTTCTCGAGGAACTCCAGTGCGTAATAAGTATAACGATCGATCATGTAAACGCCAATCGAGGGATCTACATGATGCTGAGAGGCGGCAGCAACGATAAATTATTCATCCAAGTGTAATTATTAGTGTGATTTAACTTACCGACAGCGAATCCTCGCCCACCAGGCTACTGGCCACCGCCAGGACATTCGGTGACGTGAACTTCTCGTACAGGGAGGCCGCCTGGCAGGTGTCCACCATGAAGAACAGCTCGTTGTAACTGCAGCAGGTAAGAGTTATGGTATTGGCATGTAATTAACACGACACTAATCAAAAACCACCTTCTCCTTAAAGCTAAATAAGTAAGAGATGGCAGACTTACCGCTTCTTCTCCCACATCTGCTGAATGCCATCGGCCAGCTCCTGGCTGGTAATCTCCTCCGAGTCCTGGAACTTCAGGAAACCATCACCGCCGTGGCCCGTCAAATAGATCAAAACATTGCTGCCGGCATCCGAGAGCAGCTTCTTGGAGCGCGCCGTTCCGTTCTGCGTGCGCCCCGTAAGCAGACGCACAAAGTTCTCCACGGTGACCTCGTAGCCACGATAGTCTACCTCCACATCGTCGCCATACACATTGATGTGCTGATTGGCGTTATTATATACCTGACCGGGGCGCGGATTGCGGGCATTGCAGGCCATATCGTCGGCAATCATCAGGATGATCTGCGAGTCGGGAATGCCCAGGCGTTTCACCGATCGATAGATGGACAGCACGTTGGCCACATGCCGGTAATTGAACCAGAAACGGGACGCATCCACCAGCACGGCCCAGTTGTTGGTGTGCGTCGAGCGTTGGGTGGCGTCAACGAAGCCCTCGGGCAACACACCGGTGTCCTGCGCTGGCTGTTCGGCCAGACAGCAGCAGACGATGGTCTGGATGATGATACACACGATAATTGAGAGTTTAGGTATCATTTTCTTGTGCAAATTTATTGCGTTTTAACTTTTCTTGAAAAACGCATATGGCGATGAAAAAAAGATGCCGGAAAGAACCGTAAACACAGAAATTTACTAACGCCACTCACGGCCTGTGTGACCGTATTCGCATAAGCGAATCTAGTATTTGTGAAAATCCGGCTAATTTAAATACTAGAAACTTTGAAAACATTTAATTTTGCTATTTAACGATTTTTTCTGAGAAAAAAAGTAAATATTACGCTCTATTTATTGTTTTGCACCTTTGTTCTTTTGTTGTTTATTTTGTCAGCCGAGGAAAAGTAAAAAGGGTGGTTAGAAAAACAGAGGGCGGCCAGAGCCGCCATGTTGATGAGCCCGATTTTCCAAAGCCTATTTCTCCCCCATAAAAGCAAAAATGTAACAATTTAAAACATAAAACAGTTAGTGCTCGTCGAGTACGATCCATTACCAGCGAACAATTTAAAGCTAACCCATGTAAAATGACCAAAAAAAGCATCTGAAAATGAAGAAAACTCAAAGCGAATGACGCTGCAATCACAAAGAGCAGGCCGATAAAGAGCGCGGCAAAGGCGAAAGGCGGAGAGCGCCACAGATGTGCTAATGTATGAGTGTGTCTGTGTTGAGTGGCCGTAAAAGCCTTGTTTGCGTGTGGAATTTAACTGTTTTCTCGCCGTCTGCGAATTGGGGGGCACACACACAACCACACCAATGTATACGCACACACCGGCGCACCTGGGAAAATGGGGAAAATGGTGCCAAGACAGCAATACTGGGCTTCTCTGGAAACTCTGAATTCGCCGCGATCATAGGCTCTCTGCCTCGCTCTCTTTCCATTCCATTCCACTCCCTCTTTCTCTGTCTCTATCTCTTTTCCTCGGTCGTTCTTGGTGATTGCTAGTCGGCTGCCACAGCCGCCGCTCTCTGATTCACGTGGGTTTTCATATGCCTCCATATTTGTTTTTTCTTTCTTTTGTATGTATGTATGTTTGTTTGTTGTTGTTGCTGCAGTGTCGATTTTTCGATGAGCTTTTTAGGCTCTGTTCCGCTCCACTCTGCCGGAAGTTTTCTTTTTATCCACATATCGGCGAGTGCTCTATGCGCCGCCATTCACCTATCGCTGCTTTTGCTTTACCCTGGCCTTTCGCTCGCCTTGCTGCGTGGCATTTTGTCGGCGGCCATTACGTTTTCCAATTGCCTTTAGTGCAAACACACGCACACACTCATGGCTGCGCCATAAAGCAACTGTGTGTGTGTGTACGTGTGTTTTTAAATGTGAATTTTGTATCAAAGCGCAGAGAAAAGAAACAGCAATTTCTGTTTAAAATTAAGCGAGTGGGCGTTAATTCAAGGAAAATAATGGCAACGGAAGCATTTTCCGAGTTTGGGGGAGCTTTAAATGGGTCTGGATAGTATAGTTAGCCAGCGATAACTAGGATAATCGATCGAAGCGGCCTTCGTGGCTAATTGATGATGTCATTGCGGCGGAAATGGCGTGTATGTCCTGCCAGAACACTTGACCCAGTTGGGGCAATATGGAAAATGGCTTTTCCATGGCTTAGCACCCTAGAAACGGTATCGAAAGAAGAGGGGGCGACGGCGATGGCTATGGCGAAGACCATTTGGTCAAGAGCGCGCTGCATAATAATGCGAAGGCGATGCAAAAAGCTATTGATATTGATTTTCCCTCGGCTCTTCTTATTTCCGCCGCTATTTCACACCATTTCCCCACATTTTCCTCCGGCAATTAGAGCTTGCCTTTAACCCAGTTACCCGCAAGGGTCCTTCGGCGGCGGGTGGGAAAATTATTGTTATGTGGGTGGCAGGACAATAGAGGGAACAGAGTGATAGATGGAACGAATAAGAGAGAGAGGGAGGGAGGGATGAGAGCGCGAGAGAGACGAAGGACCCGTCGGCACCTGGCACTTGCAGGATTCCCATGCCGCATCCCTTCATGGCGTCCTTGGAAACAACAATAATGACAGCAACAGCAGGAGCAGCAGCATCAACCTACGGCACAGCATCGCAAGTTGAGGAAAATCTCGGGAAAAATCGGCAGGACAACCGAAAAGTGCTTGGCCTAGAAACAGAGCGAACGAGCGGCTAAGTGAAGGAAGCAAGAGGGGGAAGCTGCCTTCGCCGCTTGCCATTTACCAATTTTCCCATTTACCACCCCCGTACTTCGTGTTTCCGAGCCGAGTCCTTTTGCTTTGCTTTTATGCTTTTTTTTTTTGTATTTTTTTGCCGACGCAACAAAGAGGCAACATCAACAACAACACACACATGCAGCTAAGAGAAAGAGAGAGAGAGAGAGCGACAGCAGGAGAGCGCGGCGAGAGAGCATGCGGCGAGAACCAGAGCGAGAGAGAGGGGCTAGAGCAGCAAACATTTGCCAAAAACAACACGTAGGCCGGGCGAAAAACACAAGTCGCCCGTGCAATGCCCTTTAAAAACATATGTTTTAAATTTGCATGGTATTTGTTAGAAGGGCTGCCAGACGTTAAGAAAGTAAAAAAAACATTAAATTAATAAATGCAATTAAAATTCCATTACAAAATAAACAAACCTGATAGCTAAAGTAATCTGAAATCGACAAGATTAACCGAAGGAATAACATCCCTAGTGAGTTACATATGCGTAGTTTAATTTCTCTTATTTGTGAATTTGTATATTCATAGAAAAAATAAATTACGTATTTGTCTATAACCGTGGTTATACCATTATCCATAATATTCAACCTGAAGTAATTATAAACAATAAAAAAACACAACAAACTCTAAGCAGTGTAGAGAATAAGGCTGTACCCATAATGAAAACGGTTAACAAATCGTATAAAACTAAACTAAATTCAATCTTATTAGTCGCAAACTTATTTCATATTTTCTTATATAATAACTGAGAATATTATTCTTTTAATTAGGACCCCATAATTGTAAAAAATACTGAAATCCTTTGGACAGAGCTGCCCAGGGCTGCTGCCAACTGGCCGCGATAGTGCAGAACATCAGATAACGAAGGGTAACACCGCACCGGGGCGAATGCGGCGAATACGTGTTTTCGCCGTCGGGCAGCGGGGACGAGTAGTAGCAGCGGCAGAGCAGCGTCGCTCTCTTGCTCTCCATTTTAGCTCGTTATTTCGCTTCGCACCGTGTTCGCGTTCACAACTCTGCGTTCGGGTTCTGCATTTTATTTTATTATTATTATTTTTTTTTGTTTGTCCTCCTGCTCCTGACTGGGCGCAGTTGGTTCGTTCGTTGATTCGTTCGTTCGGTTGTGTGAGCGGGGAGCTGCGGCACTGCAATTGAACCGCCGAGTCAAGTCAGTCGGATCGCAGGATGCAAAAGCAAACAAAACCGAAAATGCAAATGAAAATGAATGCGGAAAATTCGCAAATGGACAACTGAGTCGAAAGAGAATTAAGTAAGTAAGGTATTCGCGTTGCTTTCGTTGTGTGTTGCGTCTGTTCGCCGTTCGCTTCGCTCGTGTTCTCTCGTGCCTCTCGTGTCTCTCGTTTCGTGCTCGTTCCTCTCAAATGCGAAAAGAAGCCCAAAAGTAAAACACGAAAGAGCGAAAGACAAGTGAGTGCTGGGGCTGTGCTGTGCTGTTCGCTTGGCGCGTCATGCGAAAGAAAACGGAAAGAAAAGCGTAAAATTCATAAACCCGAAACTTCAACGCCACCCAAAATTTGTTCGTGTTTGTGTGTGCCCCACTGTTCTGGCTTTTCCGCCGCCCTACTCCCCAGACCGAACAGCCCTGTGCTTCCCCTAAGCCCCAGTTTGATTGCAACTGCCCCGAAGACGGAACGGTTTCCACGGTTTTTCTTTTCTTTTTTTTTTTTTGCCGAACCGAACCTCGGTATGTGTTGGTGTGCTTGTGCGTAAGTGTGTGAGTTTGTCCGTGTGCAAGAGAGGAAAGAGAGACCGAGAAGCGATGTTGGCAACTCTGCCAATTCTTTGACAACTTTTCCGCTTTGTGAAAATTGTGCGGCCAGTTTCCGTTTCTGCTGCGGCCCCTCACTTCCTTCAGTCGTTCGCTGTCACCGCCGTTGCCGCTTCCTCGGCCGCTTCGCTCAGTGTTTACAATCGCAGCGTTTTTGCACACTGTGCCGTGTGTTTTTGTGTTTGTGTGGGTTCTACTTCACAGCGTATACACACATCGATATTGCTCGGGTCTTCATTTTGTTATTTGCGATTCGCTTTTACTTCCTTTATTCGTCTGTTTTGTTGCCATCGCTCGTTGTCAGTGGTGTTTCGCTTTTTGCCATGGAGGGTGGTGGCGGTGGCAGCAGCAGCGGCGGCGGCAGCGGCTATGGATGTGCGTGAGTGTGTGCATGCCTGGGTTTTCCGCCGGTGCAAACTGCAATTCAATTCCAAAGGCGAAATCAAATCCCATTCGAAGGTCGCTCTCTCTTTCTCACCCCCTCTTCCTCAATCGCTCAAAGTGCGTGTGTGTTGCCTGCCTCCCTCTTTCCGCTGCACTCTCTCTCTCCCTTCCCTTCCTTCCTGCCTGCCTGCCTGCCTGCTGGCTGGTCACACTAAAATGGCGCCTGTCAGAATCCACTGGGATCATCAAGGCAAAAACAAGAAGAAGAAGCAGAAGATGGAAGAGCAGCGAAAAGCCGAAGCAGAAGCCGAAACAGGATACTTAACCAATTTGAGGATTATTCAACGTGTGCCCATCAATTCTTCAGCTTCTCTTCGCTTCTTCGCCTGACCCACTCCACTCCACACCGCACCGCACCGCTTGCTCCGTTTCGCTTTCCTCGCATTCTCGCATCAGCTCCCAGCTGCTGCTGCCAAAACTTGTTTTTTTAGAATTGGTAGAAGCAGCGCCGGCGGAGAGAGAAAGAGGAGCAGCGACTGACTGACTGGATGGCTGGCTGGCTGGCTGGTAAACCGCAAAAGCATGTTTAATGTTTAATGTTCTAGTCGAAGTTTGGCTGCGAGTCCTGATCGCCGGGGATTAGTGCGGCTGTGAGCGGGGATTTGGTTTTAAGCCAGGTGAAAGCCAAAAGCCAGGGCCATAAAAGTAATCGGTATTTAAGTTATCATCGGATTTGGTTTGGTTTTGTGTTTGAAAAACGTTGGCCCATCGGACTTATTAACTGAATATTCCTTAAGGTCCTTGGAAATGAACAAGTGTTTGTGTTTGTGTAATTAAGGATACTGAGTTATCCAAAAAATGTGTACTTGAATACCTAGTTTGCAGTTTTAATATTTATTTAACTTCATTCCGAAACTTATTGTATTCCAATTCCTATAAAATATTTTGTATTGATCATACCAAAGTTTTTTTTTTATCAAGCAAAATAGAGTAAAGAAAACAAACTCATTAAAGTTTATTTATAAATATTTTTCTCTAATTGAAAATGCATTTAAATTCATTTTATAAACGTTCATGCTCTCCTATAAATTTCCCTATTTTCTATTAAAATATATAGTGACAGGATTATACACTTTTGACACCTCGGAATTCTTGGTCAGAGAGGTGTCTCTGGAAGTCTCTTGGATTGTTTATTCAGTGTTTAGAGTAGGGTTAAGCTATGAAAATAGGCCAAGAATGTGAAACACGGCGAGTAGAGAACTGCGACGACGACCTACTTCCAGATTGAGTGATTTTCCCCTCTCCCTCTGGCTCTCTCTCTCTGTCTAGTCTCTTTTCCTCTCTCTCTCCCCCTCTGTGTGTGTTAAAGTTTGTTCCCAAGAACCACACGGCGGATTAGTAATGTGAGTCCGATTTACTCTTTTCAGGTAATCCTCGACATCACAGTCAACCAATGGGACCAAATCACTGCGACACGAACTGGAAACAATCAGCATCGGATCGCACAGAGGAGGAGGATAAGAAGCAACTGCAGGAGGAGGAGCAGAAGCAGCAGCAGCAGCACCACCACCACCAGCAGCAGCAGCAGGAGCAGTACGTGGAGGCGACGGCAACGGTGCAGCAGCGGCGGCCATCATAGGAGCAGCAACGTCGGCAGCAGCTGCCCAGGGCCTCTCGAGGATGTCCAGCCGGAAGCCAGGCGGTGGTGCTGGTGGTGCTGCCACTGCCACGGCCACCCTGGAGGACAATGCCAGCGTGGAGAATCCGGCCAGCAGCGAGGAGTCCTCAACGGGCGTCGGCGAAGAGGTAGCCATCAGCCCAAGCGCCAAGCCATCATCATCGCCCACTCCAACGCATGTGGAGGCAGCAGCGACAGGTGATGCTGAAGTGAACAAAGATCAGGATGCCAAGGATACCAAGGATGCCAAGGAATCCTCCCCGGCACCCAAGACCCTCACAGCCACCATCAGTAGCACCACAACAACCAGACGCACGCCCACGCCCACTCTAACGCCCACCAGTGATGGTGTGGCAATCAAGAGCGTGCGCATCACCCGGCACTCGTCGCCCCTACTGCTACTCAGCTCTCCCACGACTTCGCGTCGTGAGGTCAGCGGCAGCGATGCAGCAGGAGCGACATTGGACGGCGAGGAGTCATCAACACAGGGAGGCCAGACGAAGAGCTCTGTGGAGCGTTCGCTGGCACCCGTCATACGCGGACGCAAGTCTATCAAGGATCTGAAAGAAGCCAAAGAAGTCAAGTCCGAGGAGGCGACAGCAGAGCTGCCACTCAAAGAGGAGCCACTCGCCGAGGGCAGCGAATCCCACGAGTCCAAGCCAGCCACGGACGAAAAAGACCACAAAGACATAAAAGACAAGGATAAGGAAAAGGAGGAGAAGGAGAAGGAGAAGGAGAAAGAGAAGGAAAAGGAGAAGGAGCCAGTGACGCCCACCACATGCAACCGTGTCACACGAAAGTCGCATGCTCAGGAACAGGCAAACAACACCCGCATCACTCGCAACCGTCGTCAATCCTCCACAGTTGGCGCCATCACCTCAGGCGTTTTCTCCTCCGCCGCAACAGAGCAGCCACCGCCGCAACTGCCTGCCCGCGGACGTCGTAAGAGGCCAGTGGCTGCTGTGGTGCCAGCAACGAAGCGGAAGCGATCCGAGGATGCTGATTCCGTCGTTGATCCGGAAGCCAGCAATTCTGCCAAGTACAGCAAAGTGGTGGTTGTGGTCAAGACAGAGGACATAGGAGATGCAGATGAGGATGCAGCCGGTGTACTGGCTGGAGCCATCAAGCAGGAGCCTATGGACGCAACCGAGGTCGGTTCTATACCATCACCAGCAGTCACACCAACCCCAACACCCGCACCAGCACCGGCCCCATCCGGCCGGCGAGGACGGGGTCGCCCGCAGAACAGAAACTCCACATCGCCGGCAACGCCAACGGCGGCCACCACGCGAGCCACGCGATTAAGCAAGGCCGGTTCGCCGGGTATTGTGGCGCAGGAACCGGCGCCACCAAAACGACGACGCGTGGGCTCCAGCACACGGAAGACTGCCTCGGCCAGTTCGCTGGCACCCAGCTCGCAGGGCGGCGCCGGGGACGAGGACTCCAAGGATAGCATGGCCTCGTCCATGGACGACCTGCTGCTGGCCGCCGCTGACATCAAGCAGGAGAAGCTGACGCCGGACTTTGACGAGAGTTTGCTAACAGAGAGCCTACCCTCCACATCGGCTGCCTCAATTGCCTCGATTTCCTCGGCCAATGGTCATTCCTCCTCCTGCATCGAGCCGCTCACCGTGGACACGGAGAGTACCAGCAACACCAGCATTAACAAGCCAACTGACTCCACGGCGGCGTCGGAAACGAAAGTCAAGAAGTCGCCAACGTCAGAATCATCAGCAGCTGCAGCAGCAGCTGGAGCATCATCAAATGAATCCCCATCACCATCAAAGCCAGCCGCAGCAGCGGGGAAGGCGCCATCGCTAAGTCCGGAGATGATCAGCGAGGGTGTGAGCGCTGTTAGCGTTCGAAAGTTTTACAAGAAACCCGAGTTTCTGGAGAACAACCTGGGCATCGAGAAGGATCCGGAGCTTGGCGAAATTGTGCAGACTGTCAGCGGCAGCAGCAGTAGCAGCAATGCTGTGGAAGCGGAAACGGACGTTGAAACTGCTCCATGTGACGGAGACGTAGCTATGACCACGCCAGCTGAGTTGCCATCCCCTCAGCCGGAAACTGAAGTGGAGGCGGAAAAGTCCAGCAATGAGGAATCAGTAGAACAGAAAGCGCAGGAAACGGAAGCGGAAGCGGATGAAGCTGTGCCTGAACCTACCACGGATGATGTTACTGCTGAGATTACTCAGGAAGAAGAGATTGAAGGTGAACTGGAGGTCTCCTCTCATTCGAATACCTCGCTGAAAGCAGGGCAACTTCGTCTGGATGATAGCACTGAAGGTGGCGGCGATGAGGTGCTCCTGGAAAACGAAGAAGAAGGCAACGGCGGCCTCTTAGTCAACGGTGACGAAGCACCAGCTGATGAATCGGTGGAAAAGCTTGTTCAGCTGGAGGATCAGGAGGAACCGGAGACACAACGAAAGCCCGAGGACTACGATGATTTCGAAAACGAGATAATGGAGGAATTGGCCAAGGAGGGTGTCCTCGACGCCAGTGGCAATGCCCTAAGCCAGCAGGTGGCCTCCGCCTCGGATGTCACTCTAGCTGAAGCTAAAAGCGATGGCAGCGATCCGTCGCCCGTGGACGAAATGGTGGCCATGGAGGTGGATGAATCCTATATCGATATGAAGCAGCAGGCGGAACAGCTATTGGCCGATCACCTTGCCGGTGCGGATGCCACGGACGCGGATGATTGTTGTCCCGAGGAGAACAAGGAGAATTTGTCCACTTCGCCGGCAGATGCGGCTATTGGTGGTGCCGCCGAAGGTCTTGTGGTGGTGGACATACCACTGACGCTCAAGGAGGAGGACAAAGAGGAGGAGAAACCACTGACGGTGATGGCTACCGAACAGAAGCAGGATCTACCGCCCTTTAAGCTGGCGCTGCAGCTGGACCTAGAGAAGGATGAGAAGGCGAATGGCAAAAAGGAGGAGGAGTCACTCGACGGCATCGTCGACGAGCAGCAGCAGCAGCTGCGACGGGAGCAGGAGATCCATCTGCACAACCTGGGTCTGTTGACGCATCAGGCCGCGGAACAGCGGCGCCAGGATCTCCAGGAGGCGCATACGCGCCAGGCGCAGCTGCATCAGAAGCAGCAGCAACACTACCACCAGCATGGTCATCAGCATCTTCACCATCATCAGCAGCACAAGCGGCAGGGAGCGAGGGGAGGAGGAGGTGGACCCAGTGGTGGCAGTAGTGCCACCCATGTTGAATCCAGTGGCACCCTCAAAACAGTGATCAAGCTAAATAGGAGCAGTAACGGCGGAATGGGCGGCAGCGGTGGCCTACCCACAGGAACCGTCATCCATGGTGGCGGCGGCGGTTCCTCCTCCGCCTCGTCTACATCCTCCTCTTCGGTGGGCAGTGCCACGCGTAAATCAAGCGGCGTTTTGGGCTCCGGAGCAGGAGCTGGAGCGGGTGCAGTGGCCGGCGTACGCCGCCAATCGCTCAAAATGACATTCCAAAAAGGTCGGGCTCGTGGTCATGGTGCCGCCGACCGATCCGCCGATCAGCATGGCGCCCATGCCGAGGACTCGTACTATACCATACAGAACGAGGTGAGTTTTATGACTTTAACTCCTCCAACTATCCGACACTAAGGAGATTCATTTCTTTTCCCATTTGCAGAACGAAGGTGCGACCAAGTCCAGTGTAACAACGGGTAATCCCGGCCGCAAGACCAATAACCGTTTCAGTTCAACTAACAACCACCACTCAGCGGTAGCCTCCACGCACGGTAACCACAGCCACTCAGCGGTCCAGTACAGTGCGTATAGATCAGATCTCGCTCAGAATTAAGCGCTCGCTTCAAAGATTCTTAGGTCAGGCTCTAGGCTAGGGATGTATATATATATCGGAAGAGAACTTCGATACAAAATATTCCAAAATATCATATTTAATGTTTAAATATCGATATTATCTAAACAAAAGCTTTGCGATTGTCTGATTTATCAAACAGAATATCAATTTATAGACATACATATGTCGAAATGTTGAAATATTGATTTATATATCGACTTTTGTGTCGAATATTAATACAATATCTATATATTGATATATCCTATCATCCCTAGCTTAAGACCAGAGCCTGTTCTCACTCCCGGGGAATCAATGTCAAACCAAACCAAAGCAAAGTTATGATTTTTACAAGTGAAGGAGTTATTTCCGACCCTATAAACCATATATATTCTTGATCAGTAATAATAGGAGAATCTTTCTAGCCATCTTCGGTAGAAAAAAATATTTTTCGCAAATTTTCAATTTTTGGGAAAAAAGCAAAGGGGTTACATCGTTAAAATTTTAAAAAATCTGTCAAAATTCAATTTTTAATTAAGTATGCAGTTTTATTAACCTGCTAAAAATGAACATACGAACGCTTTCCGATTTAAAATTAATGCATTTTTAGCCTAGTTATAAATTTTTTACTTTTTGATTCGTTGAAAAAATTTTCATATAAAAATATGGTATTATAAAATGGTATTATAACTTTAGTCAGAAGCTTCCAACTAAGTGAAGGAGCCATTTTCGACCCTATAAACCTTATATATTCTTGATCAGTAACAATAGGAGAATCTTTCTAGCCATCTTCGGCAGAAAAAAATATTTTTCACAAATTTTCCATTTTTGGAAAAAAGGGAAAGGGGTTACATCGTTAAAATTAGCAAAAAATTGAATTTTTAAAAATTTTTTAATGAGTATGCAGATTTATTAATCTATTAAAAACTAACATAGTACATCTTTCCGAATTAAAATAAATGAATTTTTGACGGAGTTATGAGATTTTTAAGCTTTGAGTTTTCAAGAAAAAAATCACAAAATTTAAAAAATCTAGTACTTCAAGTCTTCTTAAAATATTCAAATCCGTAGATAAACATTTCCTCTTCAGAATATTAATTTCTTTCCTTAAAGTCAACAAAGACTTTTATTTATTTTCGAACTGTAGCTCTTGTTTGTGGGACAAAATGGTTTGGTTTGATTTCCCCTTTCATATCATACATTCTCGGGATGTTATATACAAACCCGTCATTCTCTCAAGCACTGTACATAAGGCACCGTCATGGTCAGCGTCATCGTCATCCCACACCCCTTCATCCTACATCCAAAAATCCCCACCACATATCATTCCCCGTTTCCAGCGGACAAAACTCATCAACGGACTTTTGCAGCGACTATAGCTTTAACCTTAAACCCTTACAGATTCATCGCATTCGGAGGGCCAGGGACAGACGGAGCATGGCTTCTATCAGATGGTTAAGAAGGACGAGAAGGAGAAGATCCTCATACCGGAGAAGGCCTCATCGTTCAAGTTCCATCCGGGAAGGCTGTGCGAGGATCAGTGCTATTATTGCAGCGGCAAGTTCGGACTCTACGACACGCCCTGCCATGTGGGACAGATCAAGTCTGTGGAGCGCCAGCAGAAGATTCTAGCCAGTACGTATTTCCCCCCACTTTCAAGTCTCTGCATTGAATTGGAACTAAAACCATTTAACCCTTCAGATGAGGAGAAGCTGACGGTGGACAACTGCCTGTGCGATGCCTGCTTTCGGCATGTGGATCGTCGAGCCAATGCACCCTCCTACAAGAAGCGTCTCTCGGCTCCGGGTCACCTGGAAACGGGCGTTGGCAATGCTGCGATGGAAAAACACTTTGCCGGCGAACACGGTGTCATTCCAGAAGGAGCGGGTGATGCGATGGGAACGGGTGCAGGAGCAGGAACGAGCGGAGGTGGACAGCATCGTGCCTGCGCTGTCAAGGATTGTGTCGAGGGAGCGGGACACTCGCTGCGACGCAAATTCATACGGAAGAGCTTGAAGAAGTTCCAGCTTAACCTGGAGATACCCGCCGGCACCTCGAACGTTTGGCTATGCGAGGTGCACTACAACACGGTTATCCAGTTCTCCGGCTGCGTCCTTTGCAAGCGGCGATTGGGCAGGAACCATATGTACAACATAACCACGGTACGGTGCTCCTTTTCGTGCCTCTCTTACAACATATTGAATCTGTGTATATTGCTCTCAGCAGGACACGGATCGGCTGGAGAAGGCCCTGGCCGAGATGGGCATTCCAGTGCAGCTGGGCATGGGCACCGCCGTCTGCAAGCTGTGCCGCTACTTTGCCAATCTGCTAATGAAGCCGCCGGACAGCACCAAATCCCAAAAGGCTGAGTTTGTCAAGAACTACAGGAAGAGGTAAGCTTTGCCCTGATCAACATAAATAGAAATAGAAATAAAAGATTTTCCTGAATTTGCCAGGCTCCTCAAAGTGCACAATCTGCAGGATGGCAGTCATGAGGTGTCCGAGGCAGACGAGGAGGAGGCACCCAGTGCCGCTGAAGCGGAAAGAGGAGGACCAGCCGGCGGACATGAGGATACCGAGTTACCCATGGTAGTGGACGACGACGGACACACCGATTCAAACTCGAGCAGCTCCTCAATGACGCCGTTAGACAGCAGTAAGCAGATGTCCAAGCTGCAGGCCATCCTCCAGCAGAATCTGGGAACAGGGGATGCAACAACGACAGGCTTAGCGACAGCAGACTCGGCAGCTGGAAGCGGCGGAGGAGGAGGAGGAGGAGCAAGTGGAAGTGGAACTGGATCTGGAGCAGACATTTCAAATGTACTGCGCGGCAATCCAAACATCTCCATGCGTGAACTCTTTCACGGCGAGGAGGAGCTGGGCGTGCAGTTCAAGGTGCCGTTCGGTTGCAGCAGCAGCCAACGCACACCCGAGGGCTGGACGCGAGTGCAGACCTTCCTGCAGTATGACGAGCCGACGCGGCGCCTCTGGGAGGAGCTGCAGAAGCCGTATGGCAACCAGAGCTCTTTTCTCCGTCACCTGATACTGCTGGAGAAGTACTATCGCAACGGGGATCTCGTCCTGGCCGCCCATGCCTCATCTAATGCCACCGTTTACACGGAAACAGTGCGCCAGCGTCTCAACTCTTTCGATCATGGCCATTGCGGTGGATTGGGCAACATGTCAAGCTCTGGAACGGGCTCCACCTCTGCCTCTGCCTCTGCCTCTAGTTCCAGCAAGCGTAGCGGGATACCGCAACCGACTAGCGGCAGTGTCCTGGCCACTGCACTCACCACGCCCTATGCAACGTCCTCGGCGGCCGCGGCCGCGGCAGCAGCAGCGGCGGCCAGTTCAGCGGATCAGCCATTGTCCACGGATCCGGTAATACCGCTGGTGGAACTCAACGACGACGATGAGGATGATGAGGACGGCGTTGGTGGCGAGGATGGAAGTGCAGCACCGACAGGTCTGGAGGATAGCGAAACGGAGGCAGTGACGCCCCTGGATCGCCTTAGGGCAGTCTCCGTGGATAAGTTGACCAAGCAGCTTAGCTCCAATGCGGTCACGATTATAGCTCGGCCCAAGGACAAGTCCCTGCTGGCCTCGAGCAATGCCACAACATCCTCAACGACCTCTAGCTCCAGCTCTAGCTCGTCAGCCGCTGCATCCCCGCCAGAGGAGGAAGTGATAGCCAAGGCTACCGTTACCGTTAACACAGCAGCAGCAGCTGCAGCAGCGCCCGCCCAGTCCAAGGATGCACCGCCCCTGGTGCTGGTCGGTGGCAACAGTCGCAGCATCCTCAAGTCCAATCTCCTGGGCATGAACAAGGCGGCCGTGGAGATTGTGCCGCTGTCCTCGCAGGGAGTGAATGCTGGCAGCGGTGCTAGCGCTGCCTCCCAGAAGGTATCCAGTGTGGCCCAGCTGCTCAGCTCGCCGCCTGAGCTGATCAGCTTGCAGCGGCGTCGAACGAGCGGAGCTGCTGCAGGAGCCTCCACATCGAACAGCCTGCTGGGCAATCTGCATGGCAAGAGGCTACAACTACCACGAATACCGGTCGGTGCTGCGACCGGAGAAGGAGCAGGAGCCGTGCCGCCACCCAATGCGGCCAAGCTGTCGAACACACTGACCTCCTCCACCTTCAATGCTATGAGCGAAGAAGACAGAAAGACGTATGCAATGTACTGTCAGGGGCAGGATAGGTTGAAGACCGTCTACTTCGACCTGAAGCAGTTAAAGAAGCAAATGAATTCAGCGAATGACAGCGATTCTATACAGTCGGAGCTGACACGCCTGCAGACACAGGTGGACCATGTGAAAGTCAGGAGGCCACAACGGATACCGGGCGGCTCTGTGGCTGGAGCTGGAACGAGTGCCGGGACAAGTGGCGGAGGTCGTGGCACCGGTGGAGTTGGTGCGACAGCAGAAGCAACACCGCCACCCAATGTGGTCAAGCTGCCGGACACACTGACGCCGCAGGAGCGTCACGAGAGCAAGAACTGGAAGCCCACGCTGATACCGCTGGAGGATCAGGTGCCAAATAAATCGCATGCCCTCTACCAGACCGCCGACGGTCGGCGACTGCCCGCCCTGGTGCAGGTGCAGTCCGGCGGTAAGCCATACCTCATCTCCATCTTCGATTACAACCGCATGTGCATTCTGCGCCGCGAGAAGCTCCTGCGAGATCAGATGCTGAAGGCCAACGCCAAGCAGAAGCCGTCCGATCAACAGCACGCTCAGACGCAGCAGCAGCAACAGCAGCAGCAACAACAACAACAGCAACAAGGTAATCCCTCAGCTGAGGCGAACTTCTCCAGAATGGTGAAGGTGGCCCGGCATCTGGCGGCGCGTGGAGTGATCCAGCAATTGCAACAGAGGCAGCAGCAGCAGCAACAACATCAGCAACAACATTTGCCCACCCTGCAGCCAGGAGGAGTGGCAGCGACAGGTGGAGAAGCTAGTAGACCGCCAGTACGACTGGCCAGGATTGCGCCAAAGCCGATGCCACCGCTAACCAACCCGCAGATAGGCAGCCAGGCGCCGCTGGACAATAGCAACAATTCCTGGCTTTGGAAGAACTTTCCGGATCCCAATCAATATCTGCTAAATGGAAACGGCGGCGGCGTTGGCTCTGCCGGAAATTCCGCTAGCAAATTGCCACATCTCACGGCCAAACCGGCCACGGCGACGAGCAGCGGTGGAGGAGGAGGAGGAGCAGCTGGTGGGGGCAACAACATCCACAAGAGTGGCAGCGGTGGCCTTTACCCCATCAAGCTGCATCAATTGCAACATTCACAGCAGCACCAGCAGAAGCTCATCGATAATGCCATCATGTCGAAGATACCCAAGAGTCTCACCGTAATCCCCCAGGGAGGAGCAGGAGGAGGAGGCGGTAGCAGTGGCAGCAACACCTTGGGCGAATTGGGCGGCGGTGGCACTTCCGGCAAGGACTGATGACGGCGAAAGCAATGGCCACCAATGGTGGGCACCAGACGGAGCAGCAGGATTAACCAGCAGCTAAACGGCATACGGTGACCCATCGATGGCGGCGATGGATGATATCTCAAAACTCCATAGCAGGACCATAGTTTGTTCGGTGGCTGCTGAAGTAGGCTAAGTGATAGACGACGACTACGACGACGATGACGATGACCAAACCACGACAGATGAGAGAATCAAGATAATTTCTAAGGTTACATAACGTTGTTTGTGTATAAAAGAGAGAGAGAGAGAGGAGGCAGCGAATACGATTATCCTTTAAGTGAGAGAAACTAAATGGGCAAGCGGAAGCGGAAACGGATATGGATACAGATACGGATACGGATACGGATAGCTAGAGTTAGCGATACACAATTATACTCTACTTTATTATTGTAGATCATTATACTATATATTTTTTTATTAGATTTACGGGCATATTCACTTGCGATTCGTGTATTATAGATACCAAAATTGCTAGAGCTAAAAATGGTTTATAGTTTTGTAAGAAACGACACGACACGAGACACACACACCATACCATACCATACCATACCATACACACACCATTCACACTGGTCGACACTTTAAATTTAAATATATAAAAGCAGCACAAATTAATTGTGGCCAAAAACAAAGTTGAGCTGAGATGCCAGGATCACACACCTAGCAGCTAGAAATCCAATCCTGCGCCTAGATTACGATTTGTATATGTAGACTCTTTAATTTATAAACATTTATATATCTCCTGCATCCTGCATCTATACACACACTCACAGACACACACACACACACACACACACATACCACAGTCACAGTCACAGGACATACAGATGATTATTATTATATAGAAACCCTAACATTTAACTCTCAAACTGTACATATTTACATTGGAGAAACGAAACCGAATAGAATATAAATATACACAAAAATTATATATATTAAAAACAAAATTACAACAAAAAAAAAAGAAAACACAAATTATATATATATATATGCGAAATGTGAAAGCAACCCTTAAAAACCACAGAAACAATCAAATTGATCGGTGTTCTCGGTGCCTCTCTCATCCGGTGGCCTCTGTGTTCCATTCTAAAGGAATTTCGAAATCCAATTCGAAATCGTAGCTCCCTAAGAGATCATTATTTAAATTCGTACAAGGCGGTAGAGAGTGCGACATATTGAAAAGCTTTCTTCTCAGAAAAAACAAACAAATAAACTAGAAAACCCCCCAGCAGATATATAGAGATGATATAGTATATATATATTATATACTATATATATATATGATAGATATTTTAGTGGAGGTTAGGCGAGAGAAATACAATTGTAAATTAGAGCGTTAAGCATAGATATATTTATACACATATGAGAATTCAATTGTTGTTGTTGGACATTGAAAATGTATTTATAAAAAAAAACAAAAAGAGGAAAGTAAAGAAAAGTGAGGAAAAGCTAAGAAAAGAAAGCGGAAGCGGAAACAGCAGCAGGAAGCACAAGAAACGATGATGCAGCAGCAACAAAAGAGGAGCTGGCGACCGTGATGAACGTGGAACGATGGATGCCTTGATTTGATCGAACCTCCTAAAAACAAAACCCCTTTAAAATGGAAATTGTGTGTGCCTGCTAGTGTGTATGTGTGGGAGAGAGAGTGTGTGTGTGTGTGTTTGGTGTGCGAATGCGAGTGTGTCTATGTAGTACTACTTGTAGCTGTTAGATCCTTGGAAACCCGGAAGAACACACACATCTTACGATTACAATTATGATTATTTATGCAATTATTTAAAAAAATAAAAAAAAGAAATTTCCTTTCCAAGAAGCAAAAGAAAAATCAACGAAATTGATGAATAAACTCCCCAATTTGTCCAGCTAAAGCTTTGTCAAGTGGTTTTATTCCTTATTGGTTTGATTTTTTATACCCTTGCAGGATATTATAATTTAAGTCAGAAGCTTAAAACGCAGTGAAGAAGTCATTTCCGACCCTATAAACCATATATATTCTTGATCAGCATCAACAGGGGAATCTTTCTAGCTATCTCTGGAGGAAAAACAATTTTTTAAATTTAAAAAAAAAAGGAAAGGGGTTACATCGTTAAAATTTTAAAAAATCGGACAAGAATTCAATTTTAAATAGAGTATGCAGTTTAATTAAACTGCTAAAAATGAACATACCAACGCTTTCCGATTTAAAATTAATGCATTTTTAGCCTAGTTATGAATTTTTTAAATTTTGATTTGTCGAAAAAATGTTCACATAAAAATATAGTTAATATCCATTAAAAAATGGTATTCTAACTTTAGTCAGAAGCTTTAAACTAAGTGAAGAAGCCATTTCCGACCCTATAAACCTTATATATTCTTGATCAGCATTAACAGGAGAATCTTTCTAGCTATCTCTGGAGGAAAAACAATTTTTTAAATTTTTTTAAAAAAAGGAAAGGGGTTACATCATTAAAATTTTCAAAAATTGATCAAAATTTAAATTTCTTAATGCAGATTAATTAACCTATCGAAAACTAATATAGGACTACTTTCCGAATTAAAATTATGCATTTTTGGCATAGTTATGAGTTTTTTAAATTTTAATTTATTGAAAAAATTGTCATATAAAAAATGAATAAATATTGATTTAAAGAATGCGAATATCTTAAGCTTTGTTATGATAAATTTCCGATTTTTCCTATAAATCAATTTAAAAATGCAAGGGTATATAAACTTCGGTTGACCGTAGTTAGTTTCCATTCTCGTTTTTGTTGGTATTGAAAACACAAGGTCGCCGAGAAATTGCTTTATTCATCTCAACTTGATGTGAGGTGTGTGTGTGTGTTGGGGTGTTGAGGTGTTAAGGTGTTGAGGTTCTTGTTCTCTCACTCTCTCTCTATCCCTATCTCTATCTTATTTGCTGTATTGCCATCTCTGTCTGTCTGGTGAAACACTCCAAGGTTGTTCTGCAACGGAAACGGAAATGGCCGCCATATTGACTTTTCCTTACAATTTTTCCCCGCCCGCTTTCTATCCTGCTTTAATTCGAGTTGGTTTTTTTCGTTTTTTGGTATTTTTATGTATGGATTTTGTTTTTATTAACATAAATTTCAAAAATAATGTTTTTAGCGTTGTTTTGTTTTGTTTTGGACTTTTTGTTTTTAAATTTAGATTTAAATATTCGATATGCACTTGATGTTGTTGCGGGGTTTACAATCTTTTCCTGCATAAAAATATATATATGTATATATATATATATATATATGTGGTTGTATATAATGTATGTTGTATGTGTGTGGTTTCATTTCATTTTATAATTTGTTTTAGTTTTTCTTTTGTTGTTGTTTGTATGTGTGATTCGCATACATCGGGTCGAGACGGAAAATTAATAAATATATTCATCCTCACATGATGCTCTGAAGTTCTCGTGCAGCTAGCGCTGCGAGTGTAGGTATAATAAATCTATATTTATTAATATTATTATTATTAAAGTTTATCATTATTATATGATCGGGCTCAGCTCGGATCGGATCGGATCGGGGCCGTCTGCTCCTCATCCTGCATCCTCATCAAGCAGATCATCCGCCTACAAATCGGTCTCGCCGTAGAGAGCTGTGCTGAAGGACATGTAGTCCAGGGCGCCGGGCACACCGTTGGGTCCCTTGTATGGTGGCATACGCTGGATGCAGTACTCAGCCTGATCTGGCGGCAATTCGCGGCGCAGTTCGTCGGGCAAAATGTATGGCTAAGGGAATATATATATACATGGTTGTAAACCGATTAGTTTAGTTTAGTTTCAAGTGGATTTATGATGCAGTATTGAATCGCTTAAGTGGGTCCTAACATTTACAATAATTTAGTTCTATAACCATGCCACTCAATAACAAAGCTTTCTTTCAAGGCAGTTTTTGTTGAACAACAATCATCATCGTTTCAACAACAAAGATTGCTCAACAGCTTTTGCTTCATAATAGCAGTTGTTAAACTAAAAAGCATTTCAACAATCAAGTTTAACAAAGCCTTATGGGTTTTAAATGTTGTTGTTGTTGTTGTTGAATGCTCAACACAAAATTTCAACAACATTTTAAGAGAGTCAAAAGTAATGCCTTGTTCTTAAAGTATAAGCTTAAGAATTAAGATTGCATGGGTTGTATTTAAACAAAAATCCAACTCCACTTTAGAGATTCAATATATTGCAATGGAAGTGGACTTAATCCATTCTCCACAACAGAGAACTGCTGAGGGATAACGCACCTTGTCGGCTGCCAGGATTCGGAAAGAGTCGATGACTTGTTCGGCAGTGTCGGTGTCGGTGCTCTCGCGGGTCATGAAATCGAGGAAGGCGTCGAAGTGCACATAGCCAGTATTGTTGGGATCCACGACGGCGAGAATGCGCTGGAAGTCCATATCGCCCTGTCGGTCCTTGCCGATCGAATAGCCCAGCGAGACCAGGCACGACTTGAACTCCTCGGGCGAAAGGCGACCGGTACGGTTCTTGTCGAAATGATTGAAGCTGCTGCGGAACTCGTTCAGCTGCTCCTGGCTAATGCCCTTGGAGTCGCGAGTGAGAATCTGGTTCTCCACCTCGTTGATATTGCGATTGATCGAGGTGAGCAGCTGCTCCCAGCCGACGCGCAGCGTCTCCATCGTATAGTTGGTGTAACGATTTTCGAAAATCATCGATTCCTGCACCGCCTGATGGATCTTCTCCAGCTCCTCGATGTTCGGCTTATACGCATACACGGCCTGCTCGTACTCCTTGAGTCGGTGCAATTGATCCTCGAGTGATCCCTGCAGTCCCATGCCAATGGCCGTAACGGCATCCATCTGTCGCTCGATCCAGGGTCCAACAATGTTGGCCTTCTCGGCGAACTGGCGGCGCAGCATCTCGTTGTTCTGCTGCTTGCGCAGCTCGTTGGCCAATGTCTGGTCACGTTGTGGCACCAGCTGGCGGACATCGCTCCACTTGCGCGTCATATCGTTGGCGGTCAGCGTGGTGTAGGGATTCTCCAGGCCGCCGGGTATCTGGTGTTGCTTCACAATCGACTCCACCTCGCGGACAAGGTTCACAATCAGATTGAACTCCTTATCGGCCTCGCCCAGTGTCGCCTTGAATTGATCGTGAGCCTGGATCAGGCCCTGGATCTCCTCCATGGTGTGAACGATGAACATATCAACCAGATCCTCGCGTGTACCATCCAGCCAGTTGTTGAATGGCGCCGCCCGCTTTGCGAACTCCAAATGCAAGATGTCGATCTTCTCCAGGATGCGCTCGGCCTCATCCAAAGCGGTGCGACGGCGCTGAGTGAGGGCACCGAGGCGGTCCCATTGGTCGCAGATGCGCTGGCACCTGGCATTCACCGAGACGCAGTCATGGTACTCCAGGGTGCTGTGAAATGTAGGATCAATGCATATACGCATTAAAAGGAGCTGCTGCTATGGATTAAGCTTAGGATTTGCAAAATGGCAAATGGAATGAAGCTGGTTCAGCTGGAATCTCTCGAACGAATGAATGATTCTGATTGATTTTTGGAGCTGTGTGATGTTCTACCTAACCTCACGCTGGAGACGCACAGGACACACAGTTGCAGTGGCAGCAGGCAGGAAGGATATTAATCAAGATATTAGCGATTAACGCTCGCTGGCAGCGGACACTTACTTCAGCTCCTGGGCAATGGCGGCGATCTGCTCGACGCGATCCTGGTGGGCGGCCAGGTCAGACTCAAAGGCTTCGTGCTTCTTCTTGAGGGCCTTCAGCTCGTTGAGCTTGCACTGGCGGAAGTCCTGCG